ATTTTGAATGATATGATAAAATAAAGTATCGTTTTGTCGTTAAAAAACCCGTCAAGCATTAAAGTATGGCCAAAGCTTGTACATTTATTTTTCTTTAGATCTAATCAGCCCAATTGTCACCTGCCCTAAGTGCCTATTACTTGTAAATTATAATGTTGATGCTTTTTTTATTTAGAACTCGCATACACATTAGGTTGCAGGAGTTTACTAGGTCACTTCAAGCCATCCAAGAGTGTGAGGGTCTTTCATTTTAGATAATGTTATTTAATGACGGTTGACTAATGGGATAAACTGAATTCCTCTGCAGTTAACTCGTGTGCCTTCCTATGGTGATTAATACATTCTCGAAACTATTTTCTCTCAACTCTTGACTGCCTCGTCCAAGGTTGTGGCTTATTTGCATTCAATATCTGCCATTTTATGATGGCTGTGAGTGCCCTATAATTATGCCTCTTCCGTCTACTCTTTCCTCACGCTCCAGGCGGCCATCGAAGCAGTCGTGTGCGATGGCCTGATGCGGCGGCAGGTCAGGCTGGTCCGCAGCGCGACTCTTTGTCGCCAACCTCGAGGACCCAGCTGGCCAGCGTGGAGGCGGAGGTCAAGACGATGCTCGGTCTTCGCCATCCCAACCTGCTGCGGATGCTTGGTGCCGTATTCTGTCCACGCCGGCGCCTCGTCGATCTGTTCGTTGAGTGGATGCCAGGCGGCAGCATTGCAAGCATGATTGGGCAATATGGCGCCTTTTCTCAATCAGTTACTATGGCATACGGCGTTCAAGTCCTGCGAGGCGTAGCTTACCTCCATGAGCACGGCATCCTACATCGAGATCTAAAAGGTGGGTGGTGATAACAACTTTTGGAACACTATGCTAGTTCGGATTACTTGTTCAAATTGGATCTTTTTTGGGCTTCCACTAATAGGGCAAACTCGCATCATGGGTTGTTATTTCGATAGAGTGGTTTCAGCATTTTTCTATTTGGCCTCGCAGAGAAGATGGTCTTAAGGAATTCCTTAAGTTAATAAATATAATAAGTGGGCAGAGTAAATACACTATGTTGTTAAACATGCATTATAGTTGAATTTTCCCACGAGTTTGCGAAAGTACGCCTCACGATGCCATTAAATTTTACTTAGCTTTGCTTCCCATAAGGCATCCACACCCAGAATGGACTCCCCTGGGAAAATCGAACTACCAGTCCTTCATCTCCCTAAACAAAATAGGATAAAAATGCGAAAAGGAAGATCATGGAACCGGTGTACCTCCTCTTTTAGTACCCACAAAGGCTAAGATTTCTACTTTGCAATGAATCGGAGCCAATCTTTTCCCCAACGGTGGCCAGAAGGGCGAAAATTTGGCGTTAAGCCCTCATCCCCAAACTAAATTCATATTCAAGAATTTCTGATAGTCTCGAACCCAACCGACATCGAAACAAAATAGTGCCATGGGTTGCTATGACAAACACATGTTTTCCTAGTCGACAATCCCACTTTGAATTTAACATCTACTCTACGAAATACTTGCACCGGCGGCTGTGTAGTGGAGTAGTAATGTCTCCACGATGCTTACGAAGCGGATTCGAATCCTGTTGATGGTGTTGATAAGCTGCCGTGGCGAGTTCGAAACGTCAATCCACTTCAGCCTGGATGATTTTGCAGTTTTGTGAAGAAGGGCTAAATGAAATTTGATGGCATCCTGAGGCCCATTCATCGCATTGTGGGAAAATTCAACTGTCAATCCCTATTCAACTTACTCGACCTGGACGGCCAAGTTCTTATTCAAGAATTCCTCAGTTTCTTGTCGCCTTCTTATATAAGCACTAAACATTAAGCCAACTTTAATGCACTGTTTTAAAAAAGCAACTATTTGGTTTCTTTTATTTATTTATTTTTATTGATAACTCGCCTTATTATGGACTAACTTTAAAAAAAATAAAGACACTATCCTTTTATATTTTTTTTCCACAGGAGCCAACCTCCTTTTGGACAGCACTGGTGCCATAATTAGGATATCGGACTTTGGCACAGCGGCGCGTGTTTACGGTGAAAAAACTATGACCGGCCAATTCCAGAACGAGATAACAGGGACCTGTGCTTTCATGGCACCGGAGGTAGTTCCAGTACATTTATGGCTTGTTCAGAATATGTGGTCTTAAAGAGTGCGCTAACTACTCGTCAGGGATCAAAAACGTCACCCTCCAATTTAATTCGACATAAAATTAGGAAATTACACATAATTAAAAAACGAAACAAGCGCCATTCCAGGGTTTCCTTTCTTAAAGAAGGTCTACCTGTGGTCACGACCAAGTTGGAAAACGAAGCCATACCAATTCAATATCCTCAGGGAATTGTATGAGGCTAGTCATTAAGTTAGTAACGAGCTCTCATGTCCATCTATCCACGAATCCTAATGGGGCCTTCATATTTCACATATTTTAGACAACCTTTCGTAAAGTTATCGTTTCAGCTGAACTATAGCTAATGCTTCATTTCAATCTGTTTCATTCCACAGAAGTTAAGATAGGTTTGCGAATTGTGTAAAAATTCACTACTTTTCAGAGTTCTATCCTCGATTAGATTCATACTTGTGCCAGGTCTACATTCTGAATTCGTCCTATTTCCTGATTTTAAATATTGCTTAAAGCTACTTTCAGCTAAATAGCTTAGTCACCCTAAGCTGGCTAGGGTGGTTTAAGGACTTATAGTTGAATTGTGTCACATTAAGATGAGTATGACTCAAGATGCCATCTAATTTCACTTGACCTCGTTCCCCAAAGGGCTATCTCATCCAAGGTAGACTGCACTTTTGACCTCGCCTGAATTGATCTCATCAGCACCCATAGCTGGATTCGATACCGGGTAGTGAGTATCGTGTTGGCGTTACCACCTTACTCCACGGTCACAGATGAAGGTGGATCATAAGGTGGGTGAGACATTCAAGGCAGGCCAGGCCTCTCCAAACCACATTTATAGTAGGATTGTCGATTAAGCAAACCTGTTTGCCATTGAAATCGACTAAGTTACATATTTTCGATCTAATTAATTTTCGAGATAATCAGTAATTCCCTCATCCTATTGTGGTAGAATTCAACTATCCTTCCTCGAATCACTTTGAGCGACTTTGGGTTTCAATTACTCATAGTCTTGATAACTACTTGTGTCCAAAATACTGTCAGATGTCTAGATGATTATCCAGATAGGTTATGAAGCAGAGCGAATGAATTGCGTAGGTTAACAGCTATATATTGCAGAGAACAAAAGACTTGCTCTTGTCTGACATCTTCTCACTACC